AAACCTTTAAAAACTCTACAGTATATTAGGAATGCAGGAATTGCTTCTATTACTGCCTGGAGTGCTGAATTTTTATTCATACTTAGGATTATTGCCTTTACAAAGTACTAAATCCAGCAAGCACACAGCATAAATTATAACAGTGATTTCTATGTAAAAAGATGTGTAGCTGAATTCTGAAAGTACAAAACAAAATACACAGAGAAATAACAACTCTTGTAAGTCAGTAGCCAGAGTCATCAACCCTTAGCAAAGGCCCACATCTATCAGCAAATCCCACTTTATATCCCAGTTGAGCCMCTTGTGTCCAAGTGGTTAGCTTTTTTTTGACCCATTTGCCATAAGTAAACTACTGGCTGCACTGTATTCACACAGGAGTGAGATGGCAAATGGGAAGCAAGGAGACCCTCAGCCTACTGAAAACTTACCCTGWCATGTTCCTGACATAAGAGCCTTGCTCCCAGAAAAAGACAGTACTCAAAGATCCTAAATGGACAGATTTCTACTCATCAAGACATTTTAAGATTGCTCTCTGAAACGTTTTGTAGGTGCTSAACATCTTGCACTTGAAGATCTCAGCAGGTCTCACAGATACTCCTGAACTCAGTGGGGAACTACTGCATAGCAGAAGATACTACCAAGAATTTGGACCTTGGGGCCAAGTTGATAGTTGCAATGTATAGCACAAACGGGTTGGTACCATTCCAGTCCTAGTTATTTCACTTTCTAGGACAAGTTATAAAGCCTAGTCACGGGTACTTTCATTGCTGCCACTGAATTATAACAGAAACACAGCTCAATTTTATCAAGACAGCACAGAATATTCAGCAATCTTTTTTGAAGGCATTACTAGATTGTACCTGGATCTATGCAAACATGAACTTTCCAAATGAGACTGGCACACATTAGGGAAGGAGATGCTCTTCTGCAAACACAACTGCAACTGTCTCTCAGCAGCTCATCAGCAGCAGAAAACTTTTGGCTGTGAAAATATTTGATCCATATAGCCAGAAGATTCCTTTTAATCAGTATGAACAACAGCTAAGTTCAACTGCAATTGGACTATCAGTTAACAAGACTTCTAGAACTACACTGAAATTCATCTAAACTTCTRTTGAAATGTTTGATGAGTTACTACCATCTCTGAGAAATGCTGCTCACAAAGCCCTGTTTTTAAGATCTTCCTCAGTGTCCTGAGCTAACAAGTCAGTCTGCCATGTAGAACTGCAAACAGAGTTTTGCCTTAAGCAGTCTTTGCTCTACATAGCATTATATTCCTTGAAAGTAATCTGTATTGATAGAAGGCAAGGATAAATTTATCTGATCTAAATATGTAGGATTCCAGAAAAAGGGCAGACGAAAGGCCAAAAGTATGAATAATATATACTTGTATCAAACTCCTACACCACTTCAGAGCTGCAGAAGATTTTTGTAGGAAAAAGAAATTAAGATGAAAGATATAGTACAATTTCYTCCATAACTGGTTCTTACCTTAAATACAAAATTTTATTTAGCTTATATCATAGGGAAGCATCCTTATTAAGGTAGCACATTTACATAGCCCCCCCTTGAAAAGATTTAATGCATACAAGTCTGAAATAATTGAAGGAACAACTGTTCTCAAAAGAGCTYAGTGAAGAAGAGGATAGCAGAAAAGAATTACTTTATCATATTGATTCTCCTGAAAAMAATGAAAGTAAGGTAGGTCAAATAAACCAATTCTCTTTTGTAAAAATTAATAGAGGCATGCAGAACATCAGTGAATTTGCATGTCAAAGTGTTTGTGACTATCCTGCAAAACTAGATCTGCACATTATTACTCTAATAAGGCAGCTAATATAACAGACTAGCTTAGTTTGTTACTGCACACTGCTATTTTAAAACTGTTCCAAATGCACTGTATATACTTTTTCCTAATCTAATCAAGCCATTAACCTGAAATATGAGAGATTATATAGTGCATTATAACTCACTAAAGTATGCTGAATAGMAACATGACTGGCTGCAGTTACTTAAAATGCATCCATCCGAAAATGAAATAGTTCTGCACATAACATTGTCAAGAAAATTGTCTGCTTAGATCTTGATCATTGCTTACACAAATTACATATTCTTGATCTACAAGACTCTTGCTCTACAACCAAAACAACCATCATCTGAAATACCTGATTTCTACTATATATTCTCTACATTTCACTAGATGTTCAATCATAAAGCAACAGTGAATGTCTACTATTGCTTCAATACTCAGTAAAATCTAAAATTCTRGTGGTATAAGTAAATTAAGTAACTTCATCTGAAAATGAACTCCCTTTTACTGATTAACACGCCCTTGTGTTTATTGATAATCCCAAACACTTGAGAGTGTTTTAYAGCATCCACCTCAGTTCAATATTGGTCATTAATATAGTTAACATGAATTACACTATTACCTRTAAGCTGAATTCCAGCTTCTGTTTCAGGGCAAAAGCTGAGGACACAGTTTCTCTATTGCATTWTATCTACACTAGCATTGGGCTGCAAGACTCCAGAGATCCCCTTTCCAACTTTAAAGATAGAGACAAGAACCTACAAGTRTCATCATAGCATTTTGGATCCAGTATCAAGTTTCCACTGCCTTTGGCAGGAGTAAGATTAATGGTAAAGAGTTTCTTGGGTGATCTCTTCATGATAAATCTTAGCAAGGTGAAGAAATACTAGGAACTGAGACCCTTCCAGGTGAGAAGTCTCTAGCTCTTTTCCCAGTTGAGCCTGACAGCTTCACCCTTTCTTCCAACTTCCCCTGCCCTCATTGCTAGTAACAAGACCAAAGCTCAAACCCATTCCTTGGGATAGAAACTTAGAAAACTAYTCATTAGAGAAAGCACTAAGAACACCAAACAGCACCCTTAAAGCTGTCTAGCTGCATTCATACTATTGTAGGCACATTAGACAATCAAAAGCAATTATTAACAAAGGTCATAGAAAGTAGGTTGCACTACTCTCTTTCCCAAAGAGAGTCTGACTTCCTACCATTAAACTGACTACTACCAGAATAGCCAAAGCTTAAAGAGTGGGAAAAAATGAAAGTGGTCTAAAATTAACAGAGATTCTCCCCCGCAACCCTCAACACTAGTGTTCAAAAGCAGCATTAAAGTTTCTTTATGCAATTTAGGACTCATGTATTTACTTCCTCAGTCTCCAACAGCTTTTTATCATCTTCATCATAAATAATTCTACATTCCTCAATAATAAACACAAGAAAGTTGCAACATAAGAGTAAAATGCTAAGATAGAAGTCTGCACTTAGCCTTGCACCACATCCATTACTTCCAATAAGAACTCATGCAGTTTCTCCAAGCAATCTTTAGAAACTGCTTTTCATTGTTTCCCCATCTCCACTCTAGCGTKCATCAGTCAGTACAGAAGAACATTATTGCTAGACATGCCCACTACACAACCCCCTCCAGTTCCAATTAATAAAAATGATATCTCAGTCTCTGCTGCCATAGCTAGACAATCTACACAACAGGTTCAAAAACCAGCCTAAAACCAAACTTCAACGCTCGCCTGCGAAAGAAGAATCAAGCCACAGCTTTTCATTTCTAAAAGCTGTGTTTACTATGGAAAAAATCCAACCTTTTGCAAACGTATCATAATACAGTGTTTGTTTATAGGAACAGTTAAAACATTTCTGGATGTTGTCTCCTTTTTTGACTTTTATGCATTCGTTATGACTTCTAACCCACAGCAGCATAAAGGAGCCAAGGACACCTACCCAGGGGCAGCATAAAGTCAGAGCTACCAACTGCTGCCTCAGCTTCTGTTGCCACCAGCCTTGCCTGCTCCTGGCCATCTCCTCACCAGCACTGCCTCCAGGAGCAGCTGCCTCCAGCCTGAAGGGGACTGTGCAGGTCAAGACCACACTAGAAGAGCAGAACAGGGTGAGAACAGGGTGATCTGATCTGTATTCTTTTCCTATCCAGTTCTCCACTGCCTGTATATTTCCCCCCTTGCTAGGGGGGAATCAAACACTTTTGCAGGATTGCAGTTCAAGCTATGCTTTGTTTTTTAAAAGAAACTGTGAGGATAAACTTTTATAGTCACTGAATAATAAACATCAAAAGAGTCACCTTGAGACACTTTATTTCTAATTATGCATTCATGACTGTCAGATATAGTATATTTGACTTATTTTTGTCTACTTTACTGCAGAAAGTCTACAAAAATATAAGGAAGAAGAATTCAGAATATGTTACTCACCATACACATTTATTCTGGTAACCAGACAAGTTTTATGTCACCCAACAATAGTCCTGCTCATTTTTTTCCTTCTTTAATCTGCCCACCAGATATTTAACCCAAAAAAAAAAAAAAAAAAAGAAAAAGAAAAGAAAGAAAAGAAAAGAGAAAAAAAACAGCTTTAGGGCTTCACAGAGATGATACCAGGAAAAGAGAACCCATTGTTCTTATTCTCTGCATAAAGTGCACTGTCTTCTTTGAAATATTCTTTTACACATTGACAAGATATAGTCCTTATGTACTCCAGGTAATATCTTGATTGTAACCACCTGCAGTCTGTTACCCCACCAGGGGACATTACTTTCAGCTGTACACCACCATCAACACAACCTGCAACTCTCAGGAGACTCTAGCAACTAGCTACTGAAGTGGCTAGTAACTCAACACACACATGCTACAGAGGGAGATTTTTGCCTCAGCCCTGAGTACATCAGAATTGAACCCAAAGAAGAACATGAACCTGCAGAAAAGCAGGGGGAAATTCACTGGTAAGAGCCACCATAAGCAGAAGCTGCAGGTGCTCCTTCAGGAGCTAGGTCAGGCTCTCCTTGCAGCAGGCCCAAAGGAGACATGACCTTTCAGAAGCCTACATCCACAGAAGCACTACCGCCATTTCCACTCTAAAAAAACAAAACTTTCTAGAAAACATCTCTCTCCTCTTTGCCACAGCAGAGGCCCAAACAAAAGGACAAACCCAAAGCCCCAGTGCAATCTCTTACCTAGGCACCAGCTCACAGGAACAGACCAAAAGCTTCACTGAGCCAAATCAGGCCACCTGAACCCTGCTGAGCCCTTTATAGCTCCCTAAATGGGGTAACCACATCCACCTGTGCCCACAGCCCAGGAACCCAGCTGCTCCCCACAGCCTCATCACAGCCTGGGCCTCTGGGCCCACAGCTTCTGCAGCTCCTCTTGGGCCACTGCAGACCTCGGTAGCACCCTGTGTGTGCCCAAAACACCCCTCAATCCCCACAGGAATGAAATGCTGCCATACATGCCCCAAATGAGCCTTTCAATCTCGACAGAAATGGAATGCTGCAAAAAATAAATGTTTGTCTCATTTGCTGGCACGTATCTGTTCTGGCTTCTTAGGCTGCTATCTTAAAATGAGTTTCAGTACACAAATAGGTGGCATGTTTGTGGTAAAATGGTTTTCTTGACAGGCAGACCTGGTGCTTTATAGTGTAAAATTGGCATCTCACCCACTCAGRGATCAAATATGAATTCTAGGTGTAATTAACAATTTGGTCCAAATGTACTTTGTGTCTTTAACCTGGCACAGTTTAATGTAGAGGTATACAGGTTTTCCTGTAGCACAAATTGAAAGAAAAACTTTCTGTATGTGCAGGATTTCTTTCTTTTACTGAAAATGGAGACATTTAGAATATCAAAAATGTTTTCCTTCCACTAGCAGGATGAGCCAGGCACTCTACTAGTATCCCTTCTTAAAAAAGGGGACTCTATCTTTAGAAATATCTCAAAAAATCTTACCTTGCTCCCGAGGTTAGAATATCGAACTCAGATTAACTGCTTCTTGGTTAGCAAACTGCCCYGGGGCAACTGGACATTTCACTTTCTTGACATATTGTCCCGTGACCATGGTTGGAACAAAATGTCCTCAGGACAATTAGAGTCTGATCCCAGAAAAACTCTCTGACTGCAAAGTCTTTATCTTCAAGATTCTCCAACCCCTCTGGTTTAAGTAAGCATGTCTAATTAGAGGAACCAGACTCAAAACATTCTTTTGTATAAAGGTACTTCCCTGATATAACATGGGTTTAATCTCTGATGGGTTCAGGAGCATTTCTGAACAGGACAGCTGCACTGAAAATCGGAAACTCAGTAACCCTGTAGCATTCCTTTCYGCAAGAAATACAAGAAGAGTCTTCAAATATTTTTGTTCTAATTTGTCATGATTTTGAATTTGCATGCTATATTCCATATACCTCAGTAGGGCAGAAGAGGGAAGGAAGAATCAGCATGAGTTTTGCCACTGCTCGTTTTCATGCCAGCACCAAAGACCACTGCCTTTGAGTTCCCACCAACCCTCATGTGTTACCCCAACGCAACTGGACTTTGCAGCACTGGCTGACGTGGCCTTTCTCTGCCAAGCCAGTTCTGCAAAACCTTGAAAAATCTCGTATCATAGAGAGACGTCACTCAGTTTGCAGCCATCGCTGGCTCTGGCTACTTTGCAGCCATTCACTGTAAGACCATGGTGCTTCTCATGCAAGAAAAAGTGTACTTTAGTGTATCTATCAGAAATAAGGAAATTACATGTGTAAGTGAACACACTAGAGTGAACCAAAACAAAAAAAATGCTTTTACCAGCTTTAAATATTTTTAGTAAATATGTCGTCAGTTATCTGATCTGCAAGTATCAGTTATTTAAAATGGAGGAAATGAATGTAAGCACATACTAAATTGTATATTGCTTCAATACACATTTATTTTACAAAGAATATATAGCATCACAGAATAACCTTAATTCTGACCTTAAATAAATATTATTACAGGAGAACTCTCAGATTATAAACATAACAATAATAATTACTTCCATAAAATATTATTTATATACATTAATCTACTGACCAGCATCAAATGCAAGTCTACAGACACGTATTTTCTTAGAATAAGTGGGAAAATACTGTAACAGACTATCTAGTAGAAATAACAGAAGTCAAGGCAATTTAAAATACTTTAAAATTCTACAGCTTGTTAATATATTAGACTATTAAAAATGTCTATACAAGTATCTATTAACATGCTGATTTAGAGAATCCCCAGCAGGCTGGCCAGAGTTAAGACTGCAGCGTTGTCATGAAGTATGTATTTCTTTGTACAAAGTGTGTTTATTGGGGGGGGGGATGACAGCACAGCTTTAATGTCCAGAAATATTTATTTCTTTGGTTTTAGAAAGCTTGTTTTCTGGTGAGTTGTTATTGCCATTTTCCCAATGAATTACATTTTAAGGTTTTGTTGTTTTCGAGGAACTTCTCCTTAATAAAGTTAACAGTGTTATAAATCCCGAAGGGAAATGAGGATGCAGATCAGCCCAGCTGGGTTCTCTAGAGCCAAAGTCATCCCCAGACCCTGTCGTGTTGCCGTGCTTGTGCTTTCCCCCCTTAGCAATCTAATTCCAGCAGCTGTTAGGGACTTGCCATGGAATTCCTTCCAGGGGACAGCACCAAAAGAAGTTTGAATACATTTACCTCCATTTGGCACTCCTCTGCCCTTGCTATAACTCTCTGTACAGCTCACAAAGCATTCCAGAAAATTGAACCTAAATGAAATTACCTTGATAATACAGCATTCCTTTGGAGGCCACTTTTGAGAGCAAGGTACAATACTGCAAATCTCCAAGCTGAGCAAGTGTGATAATGAATKCAGGAGCTGAGAATGTGTCACTGTGAATTCAGTTGTTCTCAAAGCTTAATACATGCATGTTGCAATTTGATGATGCTTTATGAAATCGCAGGGTTGTTACTGTCAGAAACAATCTGTTTACTTTGCATATTTTCACATTTTTGTGAGCTGCCTAGATTCCATCTTCTGCAATTGGAATGGAGATTTACCAATTTATTTTATTTTTCAAGATGAGTAGCCTTGCGAAGGATCTGAAAAGGTCCCAGAACTCAGAATTCGGGGAAATTCTGGGAGATAATGATATTCATGAGGATGCAGATTTCACATTCATCTGACCTTGACAGCAGAAAGCAGGCCAGGGGAACTCAAAGAGCAAGCCCCAGGGTTCAGGAATACCACAGGAGTGGAGCAGGAGGGAAGCAGCACGCCCTTGATTTGCTCTAAGGAAATATTACAAGTGCAAAACCGAGGTTGGATGGAGAGGCCAAGAATAGCTTTTCTTTTCCTTTCTTTGCCTCAGAAGTACTGGACTCAATGCTGTATGTGCTTTCACACCCAGTTTCTTTTCAAGGAGGCTTTCCTTTTCACTAGGTGTGACTCAAAACTCTTTTGTGATGCCCTTGCGTGCTCCTGGACAGGCGGGAGTTGCAGGGCACAAAGGGTGAGCTCTGGGGACACTGCTGTGTCTGCAACAGTGTCCTGCTCACTGGGATCCCTGGAAATGCTTCCGAGATGCTCTTTGGAGTTTTTCTTTGAGGACCTTTGAGGAGGAGAAAAGGAGGTTAAAATTCAGCATTATCCTCTCCTGAATGAGAGGGAATTGGTTTCACCAGGTTTTTGAGCAGCTGAAGTCTGCAATGCTCTCCAAAAGACAAGTTCCTCTTAGATGGCCAGATGAATTGCTAATTGAATACTGATTCCATATTTGATATATATATTATATAGGTGCCATATAGCTGCCCTCTGGAAGACTGGTCTTTTGGGCTTGAATCCCTGGAAGAGCCAGTGAACTGTGGCTGCTCTTTTTCAGTTAAAATTCTCTTTCTTGAACCTGTTAAAACTCTAATAGGGAGCTCTGGGAGGCAGCATTCCCTGGTGGGTTACTGCTTATCAGGACACTGATACAGTTTGTTTTATCTCACGTACCCTATCTATACAAAATGTACAGCTTGATTATTTGTATCTAGACTGTGAATTTGAAGGAACATAGAATATTGCTGCTCTTCAGGGCTGTCACCCACCACCTGGTGTTCAGAAATACTCATCAGTTTTCAGGTTCACAGACTAGATTTAATTGTACTAAGAGATTTTAATTTTAAAAAAGGAATAATAATATAATTTTGCTCCTGAAAAAGGTGTATTGCAGAAAATGAGTAAAGATAATGGTTTACAATAGAGTTTTAGAAATATTTTTCTCTATTTGGAAATATTCAATATTTTCAAAGTTAATTCATGTATTATAATATAACTAGGGATTATATTATCTGAATAATTTGACCACCGTGTGCTCACTTTGTACAGTATCTGCTAAAAATGAAAACCTCTCATATATTTTACCCTTCCAAAGTTCCAGCACATCTGGAAACATCCTTTAATAGTTATGAGGCCCAGCAACTTTCTGAAACGATATATTTTGTTTGCTTTCAGTAACAAGTTTATTTGGCTAATGCCTTTAGTACATTATTAAATCATAATCATTTAATAAAATTCAGTATAGTATAAATTCAGTTGAACAGTCAAGGTGGTGGGAATTCATGGTGTGTTGCACTTTTGAAACAGAAGGCTTAATATTTAAAGAAGTCAGATGTGGATAAATATAAAAGATTTATTTATATATATGCATATGTATGTATATGGCTTTATGCTATATATTTATGTGAAATACAAATTGTGTATTTAAAAGCTATATGCAAACTGCACTAAAAATAAAAGTTTTTTTTTGAAAATACATCCACAACTTGCAGAAGTATAAGCTTTGAGCTTTAAAATTAATTGGAAAAAAAACTTTAGACATACATTTAGAATTTGTAGTTTTTGAGATAATAAAAACACTTTCAGGCCTTTTACAGTGATATATTAAACAAGCAATCTCTGTTGTTACTGTTACAGAAAATATTTCCACAAACTCAAAAGACATAAGAATTGTATTTAAAAGCAAGAAATCAGTGCTGTGTTTTTCCTGAACAGGAGCTTTTGTCTCCATGCTACATTTAACTAGTTTGATCTGTGTAACTGGTACTTTTCTGGGGTAAAAATCTGATTTGCAGTGACAAGACTTAAATCACATTTTCTTAAATCCAAGAATTGTATATTCCTGACAGTAACATTATTGGAAGTTCTAGAAAAATCCCTATTTTTAATAGGAGTAAAACTACCAGACAGACTACTCACCGCTTCTGA